GCTCGGGCTCGACACCTTGATACTTGCTACTGTTTGCAACTGGGGATGAGATTGCGATTCTGGGCATCGGGTTCTTCGGTACTACTAGTCGGGGTTCGATTTGACGTCCGGCCTCAGTTGGCAGTCTAGATCAGAACTGGAAATGGGATGGATGCTGACAACATAATGTCAGCCTGCCAGGTGAGTAGCAACTGAAATCAATCATGATTTGGTCAACCGTGATTTGGATGACCACACGGGACCGACGGGAGTCGGGTTGAACGGAACAGTCCGGAGCTTGAGCTCTCTACTCTCCGGTGATAAGCAGAGCTCGAGGAAGGCGAGAGTATCGCGTGGGAAAGTCACGCCCAACCTCAACACGGAAAGTACGACGAGTTGGGGTCAGAAACCAAGTTCGAAAGAGGTAGGTGGTAGGTGCAACCGTGGGGTTCCAACGCTGCAACTTCCTGGCGCAGTGGGCAGAGCATCGTGGGCGCTTAGGGGCTCCAATGCTCCATGGTCCCACTGCAGTGGGGCATCTGCTGCATCAGTGCATCTCGCCTTCTGCCACTCTCCCAGCTGGGCTGCCAGGTTCCCCAACCACGATATGGTTCGTCTCGATAGGTGGCATTGGATGCCCGATGGACGACCGAGATCCTGTACCTACCTCTTCGAGATGCCGGCTCCTTCGAGGCATTTCTTGCGTCGGGTATGGTGTGCTTCTTGTCTACCTACCTACCTTGGCAAATGCGCGCGCACGCTGTCGAAAGACGTGCATTAGTTGCGGCAAGACCAAAGGCAGCTGAATATGGATTTCATTGTATAGTTCGTCTTGGCAGGTTCAGACAGGGACGGACTTGTTATCACGTTTATCCGTCGGGGTGATCCAAGATTATGTGATGGTGGGGTCCGTTGGCAGTCGGCCGACTCGGCGCAGGTTGTTGGCTCGAGGTTTGGCGATGGCGGGTCAACAACATCGAAAGCCTAACAAGAAGCTGGCGCCAACTCCCCTTTGGCTTCATTGCGTTAAGCTGAATTGAGATGTCTGTTGGTTGGATCAACGGACCTCGGGACCTACACTTACTGTCATGGTTCGGGGTAGTGGACTAAAATGAGCCGGAGACTTCGGTCCCAAGTTTGGGCGCCTGACGACGGGGACAGCTTCATGCCTCCTTTTCATTCTCGCCAGACCAAGCTGAGTTAGCGTAGCATCAGACACACGTTGGTTGTTGGTGCGTAGCGACCACTGTTTGCGGTGTTGATGCTGTCATGCCGCCACCAGGTACCAAACAAGCCTGGAAACTCCTTTCCCATTTCCCGTCGGCCGCTCGAAGAGCCTGCTAGGGCCTTATTGTTGAACTTGTCATTGCAAGTTGAGGTCGGGAGAAATATCCCGTTGCGAAGCCGAAGTGTTGTATGATACAGACTACCTCAGGTACTAGACAACATATCGTATAACTTATCATTCCGCCCGAGCCACATCGGTAGAGGCGAAACCTTGAATTCAAAAGGATCCTTCCGGAGTTGAGCAATCAGGCGGAAGAGGGGCAGAAGGAATCTGGAAGGCTGGGGCTGGGGCAGGGTGTGCGGGGCGGGGGCAGTCGGCTCCCACTGACACTAACGCCAGTAAATACACGTACTGTAACTTTCCGGGCCGACTGTTAGGTCACTGTCTGCGCCGTACGGACCCCGGGAGTTTGTGCCGCCAAAGTGCCACCAGACAAGCGCCAGGGGGTGGATGGCATGTTCATGATGTTCGTCAGTAGCATCGACCATTGACACTTCTTCCTCCTCTGGACAAGTTTACTGTGTACCACAAGACTCGTCAAGCCCAACGGAAACTATTGAGACTCCGGCATCCTTGACTAAACAGAAAAGCTCCGGACCTCGCTGGTTTCCTCAACTCAGGTCAGGGTCTGGCGACCCGGCCCACCGTCTTTGCAAATACACTTCTCACTGCGTGATGTGTACGTTGCACTGCATTTCAACTGATGTTTCTTCGCTCTCCAGATACTACCGAGTTTATATTTCCATGTGGTCGCATGGTGGGTCCGCAAACCACGCGACGTTGTTAGCCGCGACGCCGCTGAGAGACCACAGAGATAATAACATGAGCCTGTGAAAATGTTTCGATCGACTCTGGTAGCCGCGGACCCGTCCTGCAGACCTGAGGTGGCCTTATGAATTCGCAATGCACAGAATGGGACAGACAGAGATCGACAACCGGGGACCCGTGCAGTGGCCCAGACTGGAATCTGCAAGCACTTAAACCTGCAGCTCAGCACTGGCCAGCATTGGGCTAGCACTGGCAGAAAGCCCATCTCTCTATCAAGCCTTCCGTGAGCCCAGACCAACCGCGTTCCTTCCTCTGTGCAGCCCAGGGCAAGGTTGCTTGCTCGCATTACTGGCATGCGCATGCCATCATCGGTAGCTGCCCGGTAATCTGCCGCGTAATTTCGATTCGCTCGCTTGCTCCCGCCGCTGCGGACGTTGATCTGCTTCCTTCCATCATCCCACGCTTCCGTCATCCATCTGGCTCTCTCCTCCTCGCACCTCACCTCACCTCGCCTCATGGATCTCAATCAAGTGAGAACCAAGTCAACTGACGAGATATTCCTCTGTCTTCAAAAGCAAAGAAACATTTTTTTCAGCGTGGTACCCCATCATGATCCGCCCCTGGAGATATTGTCTCCGCGCATAACCCGTCGAGCAAGCGCAAGAGTGTGGCCCAGCCCAAGCAACCACTCTTGGTGACATGGTTGCACTCAGATAGGTAATGCTGCGCACACGCTCGGCGCTTTGCACAACGGAATTTACATTCATTCTGCTTTCTCCCCACACCTCCCTCATACACCTCCCCGCTGCCCAGTGGTGGCACCTTTCCTCATCAGGACCCGTTCCCATCTGTTGGTTGCACGGTGGGGTCTGAAACAGGTACACACTGCTACCATGTACACCAGAGTTCGACGCTTGAAACCATTGTGTGCGCTGAATTCCTAGAGGATGGGCAGCCGAATCTTCTCGCCCCCCCGCCGCCTGTACGCTTTACGCTTGACCAGTATGCTGTGTGCCCCAGGCCCTCGACGGGAGTCCACGAGCAACCAGGGCCCAGGGTCCATATCCTTCCACCCAACATCGCCGCCCACCATATCGTGGTGTAGCCCACCATCGCTTGCCGATCCCGGTTGGACGGGCCAGGGTCGCATCAAGTGATATAATGCCCGTTCTCCTCCCCGTTCTCCTCCTCTCGTAGCCGCCGTCTGTCCTTCGACCTGTTTCTTCAGCCCTGCCCGCCTAGAGTTCTTCTTGCTTAACTCGACAGACGACGGAAACACTGTCTCCAGTCGCTCATCAAGAACAACCGCCCAAAGAACCATGGCCCCTATCTGGAACCCACGCTTAGTTCTCGGCTTGCGTGCCGACGACGAGACCGAGTGGCGATGCGTGGGTACGAACCCCTCGGCCGAGTCGGGCAGCCCCAGCCGCTGCGAGCGCTCTATCCGGCCCTCGGAGCTCGGCAAGGTCAACCGGCTTCTTGCCGCCATGTCTCATCAGATGCCCGACCAGATCGACCACAACGAGTTGCTCCACCTGGCCAGGGCTTGCCTGTGCGCCGACACCCCGGGTCCGCACCGTGGTCGCCAGGAGGCAGCAGTTATATATCAGTGGACTGAGCTGATGTCCGCCGAGGCGTGTGAGATGCGTGTCCGGGGCTGCCGGAACCTCACGGATTCCGACCTCGGCCTGCCACAGTCGCCCCGAGCCGCCCAGACCACCTTTGGCACCATATCCTCCTCGCCGAAGCTCTACTCCCCGCAGCCGAAGCCGAAGCCGGCTAGGATAGCTTCACTACAAGACCAGCCACGCCTCATAACGAACCTGACACCAGAGAAGAGGCGGTCAGGCGTTTTCTTCCCTACTCCCACCGCGATGGATCCTGCCCCAACAGCAAAGCAAGACCCGGACAAGTGGGAAACCGAGACGGTCATCTCATCACCTCTCTCCTCGCTCCCATTCTGCTTCTCCCCCACGACAGCCAAGGACCTGCAGAAGAGCAACAGAAGAGCCAGCACCAGCACTGCGTCGCAGTCACCACGCTCTGCCACTCTCTCCGGATCGCCCTACTCCACTCCCGCCACGACGCCGAGTCTGACAGTGCACACCCCGTCCATAACCCCCAGCAGGGCTGCACACGAGCTGCCACCCTCGCCGCCGGACAGCGCCGTCTCGCCGCATGCGCCGATATCTCTAGGCACCCACCTTCTTCCACCTCAATCGGCAACGACGTTGGAATTATCTCCCGGTGACCGCATCATCACCACCTCGCTGGTTATCCCCGCTCAACATCAAGATCCAAATCCTTTATTTCATATCCCCCTCACCTCGCCGTTGGCGTCCCAGAAACTTGAGGAGTGTTCCCGTTTGCTGGCGGAGAGCCAGGCCGAGAACAGAATCCTGGTGCAGAACGTATCCGACCTACGATCCGAGCTCGCCGATCTAAGACGAGAGCAGGCGAGCATACAGGCCGGCATGGTGTTGCTGGTATATCTGATCCAGGCTGTGTCGTGCTTTCCGCTTGTCGTGATGGAATGGGTCGAGGCCTTTTGCGAGGTTGTATTTTCTACTTCTTCATCCTCTCAGACGTCGCGGCCAGAAGTCAAGGAACAGGGTGCAAGGTCAGATAATGGAGATCAAGTAATGTCAGGATTGGGGCTCACACAGACGGACTTGCACCTCGCTAGTAGGAGAAAACATTCAAGCGCGGGCAATATGGGTGAAGTGAAGGAAGCTTGATTCTGCTCGGTGCTGTGGAAATATTATGTAACAACAGATTTCGTTCTATGTTGACAAGATTGTTTGGACTATAGTCCTTGTTTTGTGGTTACTGTAATAATCAAGCAAGCGAATTCAATTTTTTATTGTCAAATTGTCAAATCAATCTTCAACTGAAAAGTCCAGTGCCGGTGCCGTGTCGATTCTTGTTCAGTCTATCCGGTGGAGACGAACATCGGAAGACTAATGGCAAGATGGCCGAGCGGTCTAAGGCGCCACGTTAAGGTTTTCAAAACTTTGATAAACTCCACAATCAATCATTGATCTGGGATTCCGTGGTCCGAAAGGGCGTGGGTTCGAATCCCACTCTTGTCAACAAGCACAGCAGAATGTATCCACATGTATGTGGAGTTGCGAACTTCTTTCTTTTTTTCGGTTTTCTTTTTCATATCTCGTGATCTTTTGGCTGCTGCACTATTTGGTGTCACAACCACCAAGTCATCAGACGGGAGTCTGGATCATGATGACCGAGTTCACGTAACAGTTGTTACCTATTTGCAGGTTGCGTGACTTGTACATGTAACATGTTATTGGACAAGTAACAGAGCTGGAACGAATGACGGTTGAAGGCGGTTTCATGTTAACATCGTTTGCTGGTATTCGAGTACAGGAATCAAAGTGTTCGTCTCCCAACAAGTAGCTCCTTCTCCTGATGTAAATCCCGGACCTGAGTCGCCAATATCTGCCAAAGAAACCCCAGAAAAGACCTTGATTTTGAGCTTCCAGTTTGTTTCTCTGTCTTTCCCATTTCTTCATGAACTCTGCTCATAACATTCACCGATTTATCACTTATATGGCGCTTACCTTGAGGTGATCGATGAACTGAGCACATCCTCACAGCATAGTGCTATACCTCCCCCACCCTGATATAGCAAGAAAGACCTCGTAGCAACAAGTGGATCTGATTGGGAAAAGAGGCAGCGCAAGATGTATTCATTCTTTTGCTAATATGTTTATACAGCAATGATATAATCCTAGATACCCATGTCATCACACTCTACATTTACGACAAAGATGGGAAGGAAAGAAAAAATTATGCCCGTCATTCGTGCCCGCTTTCATGCCATGTCATTGCAACGCAACGCGCAGAATCTATGCCTTGTCCACAAATTCATAATGGAATGAAGAAATAGTAATTTGAACCAGCCGTCAAACCCTACGCCATAACGCTGGAGACATTCAGGAGATGATCAAGGGAAGATTAACATCTACGACCTTCCACTGCGAACTGCTCGTTGCCTATCCATCCGAGGATGGATATCGGTTGAGATCAAATAACAAATGAGGAAAAAGGATGGAAATAATAGGAAAATATTGGAACTCAAGCCACCACATGGGGAGTGCTCCAGTCTGTCGATTATAATATAAGAGTTCGCCGTCACTCATTCTGGGTACGAAACCGATGGGTCTTGAAGCATTTGTCAGATAACCTCCACGATTTGCCATGCCGGCGTCAAGTTCGAAACCGGTAGGTTTTGTGAGTCGTCGTTTCTCCATCTCCAACCAGTCCATACTCGCTTGTCCCGGCACGCTGTGGTGTATCGTTGAAACTAGTACTGGCCGCCCGAGTGGCCATGATTCTGGCGAGCGAGCATGACGTTCTCCGCAATGCGGCCGGCAACGTGTCCCACGTTGGCGAGTGTCTTGAGGGACTGGTCATGCGGTGCCACACGACTAATTTCCAGCAGCAGCTGCTCAATCCTGGTCTTCAGAAGAGTCATAATCTTCGGCGTAACCTCACGAACTTGGTCGTCCTATCGAAAGTTGTATTAGTTGATGAATCATATGAGCAGACAATACGAGAGAAATGAAACTTACAAGACCGGGAACAATCTGGTTGAACGAGTAGATAACGACCTCCAGGAAGGCAACCTTTTGGGCCAGGTTCGGTGTGTTGCGAGTGAAATTATTCGACACAGTAGCGCCGACAGAGAGTAACAGAAGCGGCTGCAAGTCTGCAACAAAGACAGGATTGTACTTGGACAGCACCTGATTGAAGATCTCTTCCGTCTTCTCTGGGACCTGAAGCCAGCGCATGATAGCGTCATCATAGTTTCCAGACCTCATCATGTTTTCAATCGTCTCGACCAAGTTAGCGAACTCCATTCTCTCACGGTTCTCGCGCGCGGTGGGCGCAAAGACGAGCTGTGGCTCCTGGTTAGCATAGGAGTGCTGGGAGAGCTGATGTTGAGGCTGTTGAGGCTGCTGAGACTGGGCATGAGGATGCTGGCGGTGCTGCGAAGGGTAGTTGACAATCTCTTGAGGGACCGGTTCAGGTTGGTTATGGGAAGAGCTTGTACTGCCGTGAGAACGGGCGTTGTTGCTCTGCGCAGCGTGCTGAAAAGCCACCTCGTGTTCGCGGCCCTGCTCGTGCACCTGCTGCTTAAGGGCAGTCAAGTCCTTATGCATCAGGGTCTGGGAAGCTGCAAGCGACGAGATTGCGTTGGACAGGTCCTTAGTCTGCCCGATTAGACGGTCAAGCTTCTGGTCTTCGTCGCGACGGCGATCCTCGAGACGCTCAAAAGCCTGACCAATCTGAATATTGACATCATCGATGATGCGCTGATGAAGGCTCTGGGCGGTAATCTTAGCCACAGCCGGTGCGAGCGTGGAGACAGACTTGGCGATTTGAGCATCGATGTGGGCATTGACGTTGTGGCAAATTTTGTCCGAGATCATCTTGACCGCCTCAGGCTTCTGAATTCCCTGCGAAACAGCGTTAGGCAGGTGCTTTTGAATCTCTCGCTGCAGGGTGTTGGTTTGCGAGTTGGACTTCGCTCCAAGCTGATCCGAGACCGACTTGTCAATCGTGCTGCGCAGAGACGGTATTACGTTGTTATTGATCTGATCAATAATCAGAGTCTTCAAAACGGCCTCGGTGTTGTCGTTAAGAACATCAGCGACCATCTGCAATAAAGCAGACTGATTGTTGGCGAATGCCGAGTCGCGGCCTTCCTGGAAATCGTGCATCTGCCTAAGAAGCTCGCGGAATCCGGCTTCAAAGCGATCTGACACATTGTTGACCATGCGGTGCTCCATAGTTGCGAAGACGGCGTCGAGGTGCTCCTGTGAAACAGTGCTTGGTGCCAAAGTGAGGTCGGCGAGTTGGTTGGTCAGAGCCAGTGCGGAAGATTCAGCGTTGCGAGCCGACGCTTTGCCCTTGTTGTTTTGTGAAGAAGTCCGGATGAGCTCCGTCGCGCCATTTGTGGGGAAGTCGCGGTCAGTGGCGGTCGCGCCGGCGCCAGTGCCAGCAGCTGCTGCAGCAGCAGCAGCAGCAGCAGCCGCCGCAGCCTTCTTCTTGCGATTCTTCTTCTCGGGCTTTTCAGGCTGGACTGGGGTCTCGCTCTCTTCCTTCCGATCTGGCTTGGGAGGCGTCACGGTCTCCTTCTTCTCGTCACCCTGAGACGATGGAGTCTTCTGAATGGCGTCCTTAGCGCCGCGGGTGGCAATGCGGATCGGGGGTGCCGCGCTCGCTTCAGCCTGAGTACTGCCAGAAATCTGGCCCTCAGTAGGGAGGGGTGGAGCAACCAACTTCGAAATCTTGACGAACCCTGCTTGCACTGCGTCGAGAGCGGTGATGACCTTATTGTCCTTATTCCAGCCAAGCTCACCTTGTTTAATGAACAGGCAAGTGACACCCTTGGAGTGCATGGCATACAGCTCAAACAGATTAGGTTCCTCGCCTTCGGGAGTGGGCGCCTGGTTATCGAGGAGGTGAAGACTGCGGAGGACGCCCTTGTTCGCGAAAGAGTACTCCCTGATACCACTAATAACGGCAGTCGACTCTGGCTGAGGGATCGAGGAGTCTTGGGAGACAAGACGCTGGACGTAATCCACCTGCGATAGGTGCTTGAGGTTGTACTTGGGCGCTGAGAGGTGGAGGAAGTAAATCGAGTTCCGCGTCGGATGGCCAACCACAATGATACTCGAGGGTGCATGATACATAACACTGCACACAGCGTCTGACTCCTTGTTGTGCGGGAAGTTGAACTCTTGCACAGGCTTGCCAAGGGCAAGATCCCAAAGCTGGAGGGTGTGGTTCTGCTTCATTCCCACGATCATGTATCGCAGGGCGGCATGCTTCTGGTATGGGCGGAATTTATCCAGCAACAATACCGATGTAGGCCATGCCTTCTCACCCTCCGGTGTGGTAGTCAGGGTCATCAACGGCTCCTTGATCTCGAGAGACGTCTGCGCAGGCATGGGGTGTAGCGGATCAGAGCCCTCCTTGGTGGCAATCAGGTCACGAACATCCCAGAACTTGACTCGACCGGACTTATCCAGCGAGACCATTAGAGTGTCGTCAGGACTAAAGGTGAAATCCTTTCCGGCTTTACCGGTGTTGATCTTGAGGGAACATTGCTTCAAAAGCTTCTCGGTGTCGACAACTCGATCGTGGGCGTTCTTAAAGAGGTTGTTCTCAAATATGAACGAGGGCCAGATTATATTGATGGACTTGCCGCGTCCGACGGCAAAGAAATCTGGATGCATCGACGAGGCTCTAGCTCGTGTCTTGAGCACGCCGCCCGGGGCATCTCCACCCTCCTGGGTCGACATGGGCGGCAAAGCGAATCCGTACTGCTCTGGGTGAGCATCCTCAACGTGGTCACGGTCGCCATTTTTCAGCTGCACCCAGTAGACCGTGCCACTGACACCTGTTCCAATGATGGCTTCCTTGGGGGGTAGGTTGGAGGGTGAGGTCGAGAGGGCAACATTGAAGATGCGATCCTTGGTGTCGGTAAAGAGCTTCGCGTCCTTGCCATCTTCCTGGCGAATGATTCGGAGTCCTCCAGCCTTAGACATCCCATAGGCCATATAGCTCTCCGAGGCAGATACCAGATTGCGATCAATCTGGTCAAAGTCCTTCTTAAGACGAGCAATGTCGAGAATGGCCTCCTCGCGGAAAACAGGACGAATGAACTCGGTTTCCTGGCAGCTGAGAGTGATCCAGGGCTTCATCGGGAAATTGTACACCGTGACAGGCGCTGTTGTCTCCTCGATGACAACGATTTCATCAGCTTCAGCGCTCTCCCAGCTATCTGCAACCGGGGCTTTGGCAGCAGCGTAAGCGGCCTCGTCCACGATCTCCTTGACTTCCTTGGCAACATCCGGGTCAAGGGTTGATTCCAAAATGGCCTTGTTCTCATCCTTGTCGAGCTCCTTCTTGATGGCCTGGGCAGCGATCTGAGCGGACTGAATAAACTCGGCGTCTGTCTTGGCGCTCATCATATCCTCCAAGTCCTGGGCAATTTCAGCCTGGGCTTGGTCCTCTTGGGCGCGTGCCAAAGCTTCCTGGGCCTCTCTATCAACCTGTT